TAGAGACGGGGTTTCACCATGTTGACCAGGATGGTCTCGATCTCTTGACCTCGTGATCCACCCGCCTCGGCCTCCCAAAGTGCTGGGATTACAGGCTTGAGCCACCGTGCCCGGCGAGTGATGTCTTTAAGGCACTCACTCCTCTACAAGAGGAAATAGCGGGAGCCCCAGGCCCTCCCAGCACCGGTCCACCGCGCCCACCTCAATCATGACGCGGTCCCAGAGGCGGGTCAGCTCCTGGCCCTGTTCGGTGTCCGCGCTGTAGAAGGTCAGCATCTGCTTGGTGATCAGGGATGGATTAGACACCATCTGCAGGGAGCCGGAAGAACAGGGGCCGGCAGGGCTGTTGGGTGGGGAGTCGGGGCGGCCTCTGACCCGCCGCGCCGGACCCTCGCCCCTCCCACACAGGTCAGGCCCCTCCCCGGGCCTCGCCCCGCTCACGTAGTCACGGTGGGTATAGGACGTGATGCAGGAGGCGCACTCGAAGATGAAGACAATGAGCATGAGCACCAGGTACTGGGGAGATCAGAGGGAGGATGGCGCGTTGGGCAGAGCCGGTGAAGCCACACCCCCACCAGGGACGAATCGTTGTGGAAATGCAACTTTTTAAAAAGTTTAGGGCAGTGTGAATGGTAGCATCTGTAATATATGGTGGGTATTCAGGTGTTCGCTGTATAAGTCTTCCAACTTTTCTGTGTTTGAAATATTTAATTATTTTTGAGACAGGCTGGGCATGGTGGGTGGCTCACGCCTGTAATCCCGGCACTTTGGGAGGCCAAGGGGGCCATCACCTGAGGTCAAGAGTTTGAGACCAGCCTGGCCAACATGGTGAAACCTCATCTCTACTAAAAATACAAAACTTCGGGCCAGGCATGGTGGCTTACCCCTGTAATCCCAGCACTTTGGGAGGCCGAGGTGGGTGGATCACTTGAGGTCACGAGTTCATGACCAGCTGGGCCACCATGGCAAAACCCCATCTCTATTAAAAATACAAAGATTAGCTGGGCATGGCGGCATGTGCCTGTAGTCCTAGCTACTCGGGAGGCTGAGTAGGAGAAGCGCTTGAACCCCGGAGGCAGAGGCTGCAGTTAGCCAAGATCACACCACTGCACTTCAGCCCAGGCGACACAGTGAGACCCTGTCTCTTAAAACAAAACAAATAGGCCGGGCGCGGTGGCTCAAGCCTGTAATCCCAGCACTTTGGGAGGCCGAGGCGGGTGGATCACGAGGTCAAGAGATCGAGACCATCCTGGTCAGCATGGTGAAACCCCGTCTCTAC